TTTCTCTGAGAGCTTGGCAGGCACCTGGTGCTAAGTTCTCTGAGGCCCTGGGACAGAGGTTGTCACCTTGGTTTTGGCAAGATAGACAGGTGCTTGAGTTGGTACTTGTGTGCCCTAGGCCCTAAAGCACTTTCTGGATATAGTATGTGTAGGCCCATGATTGTAGTGCCATCCCTTTATTGGACCAGTTCTTTTGGGCAAGGCTGAATCTGGGGTTATAGGCCTTTTCTTAAGTGTTAGCCTTTGGGTTGGGGTTACTGTTTCCCTATTCTCATGGGTAAAATGTCAGGAGGACTCCTGCATTCAGGGCTGCTGGCTGCAAGACTCTTGAGACCTGGCCTCTCATTATAGGGGACCTATAGCATAGTAGGATAAGCAGAGGTGACTTCTGCTGGTGGCTGGAATGGTTGGTAAGAATTGAGATCCATGCCAACTGTGGTGGAGGCCTCACTAGCCAGCAGGGTGGGTAGGAAACTGAGCTGTCACTGTCCTAATGCCAGTGGCCTTGAGGTGGATTGCAGAGAGCTGTGTGGAGACCATCCCAGCCCCATCCAAGTGGTCTGGGCAACCCCCTTGCTTTTGTACTTTTCCTCTTCTGTCTCTGCCTTGGTTTCTTGTTTGGCCTCTCTATTTGGGCTCCTAGAACAGTGGCTTCTCTCCTGTGGTCCATTGGGGAGTTCTGTCTAGCTCCATGTGGGAGTTCCTGCCCTGCAGGGGATAATGCTGGGAACTACTAGACACACATCAGATGCAATCTCAGTCTCAAAGCTAAGGGCAAGGGTCTGTGTGCAGGGTCAGTTGGTCAGGACTGAGCATAGTTCATGCCCTCCTTTGAGGACTCAATCTGCTGGATATTCCCTGTGATGTTCGAGGGAGGGAAACCCATAGAAAGAACTTTAGGTTTAAGATAGGAATCTGCCAGATTACTGAGGACTCAGCCTACAGGACAGATTTTAATTGGGAGCAATGCCAATGTCCTGAGAGGATGTCTGTCCGACACAGGTTTGACTTGGCCTTTTCTCTGTGGCTGTATGACATTGTTTTAGCCACTCAGTTATCTTGGCTTTCTCATCTCTGAAAGAGGTATAATGTTGATGGTGTTTAATAAATGCTCCCTTGTGTGTCTGTTGGTGTAAGGTGTCTGCAGGTTTCTTGTTCAGTACTGGGCATGTGTCATGATTTACTACTGGTTTGGGGTGAGATGCACTTTGCCTAGGTCTCATGGTTGGTCATCATCAGTGGGGTAGATTCTGACCCTGGCGGTGTGCCTGTAGGAATTGTTCTCTGGTCTCTCTCTCTCTCTCCCTGTCAGTTCAGGGGATCAGGATCCAAGCTTATGCACTTGGAGTACCATGTACCTCAGAGCTTGTGGTCTAATCTGCACTTGGTGAATGTGATCTGTACTGTTGGCCAAGGAAGACAGTTACAGCAGAGAGAGGGGAAGAGTTGGGAAGGCTTCCCAGGGAGGAATTTTTTATTCTGGATCTTGGCACATAGTCGTGGTGCCTCAGCAGATCTAGAGAGGCATAAGGCCAGGTGGTATCTGCACACCTAGAAAACAGCCCAGCCCAGAGGCTGAGTGAGATGGCCCATGAGTTGTTTTTTTTTTTTTTTTTTTATCTGTAGTGCAAAATGTTCTTAGAGAGTTTTAGGTTCACAAAAAAGTTGAGCAGGAGACACAGTTCCCTTTTGCCCCTCCCACCAATCCCAAGCACCCCGCTGTTGATATCCCACTCCAACCCCATGCTGGGCTAGCTGATGTTACTGATAAATCTGTACAGCATACACAGTGTACTCCTGAAGAGGGTTTTATTTGGCAGTTCAGTTACTTGCTAATGGTTAAGAATTCAGGTGCTCAGGAGTGACCCTGAAGATTTACAGACACATTTGGGGCTGAGAACTAGTGCTGCAAATCCAGGTCTGACTTGGCTTCTACTTCCTAGCTGCAGTTGGCCAGGGAGGAGCAGGGTGCCCCTTAGGGACTGCTCCAGCAGAGTGCCAGGTGTGTCACAGCTTTACAGTGGATTAAGGATTTAGAAGGCTCTCCTGGGGGAGGTGGGGCCAACGCCTTTATCCTGATCATGTTTACTTCTTTTCCTTGCCAAGCAGGCCCTAGCCTGGGGTTGACAGTGACTGTGCTCTACTGAATGCACTAGAACCCACAGGAAATGGTTATGCTAGACCAGTTAGGAGGCAGAGACATCTCACCAGCTGAAACACTGGAGGTAAGACCAGGAGGACCAAGGAATTGGCTCCATGCCGTGTCTAAATACACCCTCAGATCTGCATGAGGCGCAGATGACGTTCTCAGAGTGTGACTATCAAAACTGGATAAGATGGAGCAGTCCCCAGGAGCTCATCCCTGCAGAACAAGCATAAGAAAGAACCTAGGGATGACAAACAGTGGGATGCATCAACTAGAGGGTCAAGCCTTGCCCCTTGGGCTGAGGAGATGAAGGCTTAGCTTTGGTCTGGTGCTAGATGCAGGGCTTGGTTAAAGAGGAAGTTGAAGGGTCTGGCATGAGGGGAAAGGCCACTGCAAACATAGGCAGAATGGGAAAGCAGAGTGGTTGCTGTAAGGAGCACCCTAGTGAAGGACAGCAGGACAGTGGGCTGAGAGGTTAGCTAGTGGCCCATCTATGTAACATTCTGGAACAAAAGGTACCTGGCATGCTTAGTACTTGCCCTCAGGGATCCCAGAAGGAAATAGAAAGATGATAGCAATAATAACAAAGCTGGCATGTGACAGGAGGTGGGGCCTGGGCATAGGAGGAGGAGATAATTGAGTCAGCCCTTGAGAGGGGAGGAGGAAGAGCAGGCAGCTAGAAACTCAGGGCAGGATTCTTCCAGTCTGGAAGATGGGAGTTTGCAGAACCTAGGCTAGACTGGGGTCCTGTGGGACCTAGGGCGAATTTTTGGTGTGGTGGATCTGTGTGATGGGGCTGGTTTGGGCAGGGCAGTTTTACTGAATTAGAGGGTCCCTTCCGTAACGTACAGTTTACCCACTGAAAGTGCAGATTGTTGGTTTTTAGCATGTCCACTGTAGTGTGTCTATCATCAAAGGAGATTTTAGAAAATTCATTGTTACAAAGAGAAACTAACCCTCAGCAGTCACTCCTTTCTGCCTGCCCTAGCCTTGGGAGCCATTTCTTTTTCCTCCTAATGCTGTGACCTTTTAATACAGTTCATGTTGTGATGACCCCCAGCCATAGAATTATTTTCATTGCTACTTCATAACTAATTTTGCTACTGACGTGAGTTGTAATGTATTATATCTGATATGCAGGATATCTGACATGCGACACCCCCCCCCCCAACAGGTTGAGAACTGTTGCTGTATGGGTTTGCTTATTTTAGGTTTCTTATATAGGGTTGAGCAGTATGTGCTTTCCCGAATTTGGCTTGCTTTAGAAGCAGAAAGCCTTTGAAGTTCAACTTCGTTGTGTGTGTCAGTGCCTCACTCCTTTCATGGCTGAGTGCCTTGCTTCACATGTCCATTTGTATTGTCTCATTTTGGCTTTTATGAATATTGCTTCCCTGAACATTCGCATCTAGATTTTCATGTGGCAGTATTTTTTTTTTTCTTCCACTCTAGGGTGGTATTCTAGGGTGGTACTCTAGGGTGTAGACTAGTGAAATTGCTGGGTTGATGGTGATTGTAACCTTGAGGGACTGCCAGGTGTTTTCCAAAGCAGGTGTGCCACTTTGCCCCTTACCAGCCAAGCCGAAGGCTTCCTTTCTCAATATCCTCACCAGTATATCCTCATGACAGTAGCCTGTGTGTGAAGTGGTGCCTCTTTATGGCTGTGCTTGAAATTCCCTCTGGCAGCATCATTTCATGTGCTCACTGGCCATCTGGATATCTTTGAAGACAAGGCTATTCAATTCAGACCTTTTGCCCAGGGTAGGGTTTGTGTGGTCTTGTGTGTGTGCATGTGTGTGCAGATACTTATGAGTGTGCACATCTGGAAGTTGACTTCAGTCACTTCTCTTTCTTATTTTAAGGATTTATTTACTTACGTAATTAACTTGTCTGCATACCTATTTATTTGTGCCATGTGTATGCAAATACTCGGCCAGAAGAGGGCATGGGCTCCTGTGGAACTGAAGTCCATTTGTAAACTGCCTATTCACTGAGCATTTCTCTAGCCCCTTCACCCTGTTTTCTGAGATGGGGGTCTCATTGAGCCTGGGGCTCACCCTTTTGGCTAGATTATTCAGTTGGCCTTGTAAGCTCCCCTGCCCAAGCAGGCCTATCTCTCCTTCCCAGTGTTGGGGTTGCGGGTTTGTACTGCTACATGTAGTGTTTTTATGTGGGTGCTGGGGATGTGGACTTGTTTACATGCTTGTGCAGCCACTGAACCATCTGCCTCAGCTTGTTTGCCCAGTTTTTATTTGGGTTATTTGAACTAACTTTTTACAAAGATTAAGTTCATGGTCTTGAGAGGCTCAGGGTGGATCCAGAACTGGGATGCCAGCAAGGGAAAACACCCAGAAGCTGGTCTCGGGCTGGACAGGTAAAAAGAGAAAGGAAGGGAAAGATCAGAGGAGACAATGGCGTGGTTGGGGCCTTTGAGAAAGGGGGAGATGATGTCCTTGCTGGCGACCCAGGGATGTGGGGGTAGGGGTGGGTTATTGAGAGTCAAAAGTAGTTAGGGGCACTTGGTGACAGAGAAGTCAGAGAGGGTGTTTGCTAATGAAAACTGGAAGAGGACAGGTGGTTTGGATATGACTGGAAGGTAAGAAATGAGGTGCATTTGGATGTCACTCCTTACTGCTGGTGGGAGGAGAGAAGGAGGGACACCAGGCAGGAAGGGGGAAGCAGTTGAGTGTGAGAGGATGAGGGGCACGAGGGCCTGCTTCTGCACCCAGGCCCAGCAGGCATGGGAAAGAGGAGGTGAGATTGGCAGCAGAAGAAAGCAAGGGGATAATTGGTGGGCAGGCATCCAGAGGGGGTGGGTGGGGTCTAATAAGAACAATAATAACAATAATTTGTCTGGGCTTAATAGCCCTGTCAGATCCTTGTGCTAATTGGATTGCTTAAGGGCCCTGCTGGGAGAGGTGGGGCCTGAGAGGGGCTGCCCTTACGTCTACCTCTGCAAGGTGGAAGTCAGAGCAAGGTGAGCATGTGGAGAGGCTGGAGGTTCTGGCTGACAAGGGAGAGGAGGAGGAAAAGTCGAGGGTGGATCGCACTTTGAGGGTTCCTGGTCAGAAGTTGCCTGGCCTGGACTATTCTTTTTATTTCTGTGGAGCTTCTGGAGACTAGAGATCTAGTTTGATCTAGAGATCAAACCTAGGGCCTCTGTCACACAGCAGTCATGAGCTCTGCCACTCAACACCCTTGCACATCTTGGAGTTTTCTAGTGTTCATGTTGGGGCCCTTCTCCAGGGAATAGTCCTGAGACTTCAGAGCTGGGTTGTGTCTCCCAAGATTCCCCTGGTTCCTCTGTGCCTCCCTTGCAGACGAAAAATGCCACTCCCCTGGTTTTGAGATTTCAGGGCTCCACACCTTGAGAACTTGAACAAGAGGGCCAACACTAACCTTCATGAATGGGTGAATGAATGGATGGGATGTGTAGAGGAGTGGATACCCTTCTTAAACCCTTTGCAAGAATGGGAATCCCTGATTCATCCCCACAAACTTGCTTACACTGGAGGCTTCACACAGCTTTAAAACACCTGTCCTGCAAGGGTTTAGTTGAGGGTCTGAGACCTCTTCATTGTTCAGGGTCACAGTGTGCAGCTGTTGTAACACTTGGGTTGAGCTTCCAGGCTGGGATTTTCCAGGTTCAGAGAGGTGCGTGCCTCTCTGGTATCAGGCCTTCTCTCAGTTTGCTTAAGTTCGACAGGTGTTGTCAACTCCTATAGAGAGCATTCTGTCCTGCTCTAGTCAGTCACCTAGACAGACATTCCTGCTGCTCTGTTGTCTAAAGGAGACAGGACATAAGAGGGGCATCTCTGAGGCCTGGTGAAGAGCTGCCTCTACTACCCAGATAAACCCAAACTCTTGTGATGTGTGGCCTGCTGTACCTCTTTGCCAGCTTGCCTTCAGGAGCCTGGGGCCAAGGCTGGAGGAACAGAATGCCTTCCCCTTCTGAAGTCTAAACTTTTAAGGGCATTTGTGTGTGCCTGGAGGTCAGACATTGATGGCAAGTCTTTCCCAGTCATTTTCCTAATTTTTAAAACTGTCTTTGAGCCTGGAGCTCCCCATTTTCCTAGACTCCTGGCCAGCAAGGCTCAGGAATTCTTTTGTCTCCATTTCCCCAGCAGTGGGGAACAGGTGTACTGCCTTATCCAGCTTTTACATGGGTTCTGGGGACTGAACTTCGGCTTTTGTGGCAGGCCTCTCCAGACTGAGCTATCTCTCCAGTCCCTACCAGGACATTTTATGTGGTATTTTACCTCTGCAGTAGGAGCCAACCCTTCCTGTATTCTGGGCCCACCTGTGCTGTGGATTTGTGTGCTCCCTTGGTTCAGGGGAACTTAACAGACAGTAATCAATAGCAGCAGCACATGCCTGGAGCATAAACTAGGCTTTTCTCATGGCTCCCACAGTGCTTGGCTTTGAAAGCTGCCTTTATTTTTCACATCTCTTGCTTTTAACATTAGGAGTCAACCAAACTTTTCCTCTAAATATTTGAAGCTTTATGGGTCACAGTGCAAACCAAAATTGTGATTCATATAGGTGACTCAGAACATTTGAAATGTGACCATTGGGGGGAGATACCATTGTGTCAGTGTCAGTAGGAAGAATTTGGCCAGTCCAGCAAACCTTTTCCAGCCACCACAGGTTAGGCTCTGCATCCTTGCCTCTCATCCTGCCAACTCTTTTGGGCTTCAGTGTCCTTGGGGGTTGCCTTACTGCCTGATAAGTAAGGCTTCCTGGCTTTCAGGAAATAGAGGCTGTCTTCTTCTGACCACTGAAGGCATTCTGCAGAGGTGAGGTGAGTAGAAAGCAGGCAGGGCTTGCCCTGCCTCCCCTCTGCTTATAGCTGGGCCTTTCTCCTTGTAGGAAGTCAGCTGGAGCTGGGAATTCTTGTACTTGAGCTCAGGGTTTATTGTTTAAGTGAGAAAACAGTATCACACTTAGCAGCTGCCTTTAACAGGCCAACACTCTCTTCTTGCAGTGCCTGCAGCTCAAGTCCTGTTTTCTTTCCTTAAGGTGCTTGTGATGTTGATGGTTTTGTAATCATGTATATGTACGTTTTTTAAAAGTTTACTTTCTAGCAAAGATATTTTGTGTGCTGAAAATATGCTGGTGGTTTGTTTGTTTTGAAGACAGGGTTTCTTTATGTAACAGCCCTGGCTGTCCTGGAACCCACTCCCGTAGACCATGCTGGCCTCAAAACTCTAATTCACCTGCTTTTGCTTCCTGAGTGCTAGAATTTAAGGTGTTCACCACTACTGCCAGGCCAAAAAAATGCTACTTAACAATTGAGTGACTTAACATATTTAGAGTTGCATAGCAGTCACATCTGTCTAGTCCTGAATGTTTTCCTTACCTGTAAGGAAGCCCATACCTGTTCATGGTCACTGCCATTCCTGTCCTAGCACTACAGCCACTTGTGTGCTTCTTGTCTGTGGACTTATCTAGAGAATCCTATGCCATGTGTCCCTGGACTTTTTTAACCTTGAGCACAGAATCTTATATCACCTGGGTTTATTTGACCCTGGGCTTAGTAATCTTGGGCAGTTCACACACAGAAACCTATTTCTGGTGGCCCTGGACTTTGTGGTATCAGGCAGTTTATGTACATGGAGCCATACACCATGTGGCCCTAGACTTAGTGACCTTTGGTACTTCATGGAACCATGTGGCCCTGGTCTTACACTGTGGTTGGTGGCTTTGGGCTTTGACCTTGGGAAGCCCATGCACATGGAATAATAGGCTTAGCCCTTGTTTCTTTTTCTAGCATCTGGTTTCTGCTTTTTAGCTGTCACACATGGCGCTGCATGTCTGTTCACTCATAATGTTATGCAGATGTGTTTTTTTTTGGGGGGGCGGGTGGTGTGTATGCCAAGAATGGGACTATGGGGTTATTTGGTAACTGCTTACTGATTGAGAAATGGGTTGTTTTCCAGAGTGACAGTGCCATCTGACATTTCCCAGTGTACTTGCAAGTTCTCCTTGTGGAGTTGTTCTCTGTTTCACTTTGGAGACAAGATCTCATGTAACCCAGGCTGGTTCAGGATGTATTATGTACCTGAGGCTGGCCTGCAATTTCTGGTCGTCCTGCCTCCACTTCTCAGGTGCTGGTATTAACAGGTATGCACCACCATACCTAGCTTCCTTTGGAGTTTTGGTGTTCATGGTGTGCCATATGGGGCCTTGTGTAGGGGAGACAGAACTTTCTCACTCTTAGAGTTGCCCTGCTAAGTCTGAGAAATAAGCAGACATAAAGCAGATTGACCAGAAAAAGTTCAGGTGCCTTCTTATGTGTGGGGGCATCATGTGAAAGCAAGGCCTTGTGAGTGGCGGGGCCTGGTGTTTCTCTGAATGGACTTGAGTTTAGAGTGTGGATGGGAGGCTTGTTTGTGCACAAGTCCCTTGGCCTTGGCTCCTGTCCCTGATAAGGTAGTTTACTCCCCTGAAACAAGGAGGGCATATCTTAAGAGGAAGTTATACTCTGGCTTTCAAGAAGAAAAAGGGAGTCATTGCTATCCCTAGAAACCTTGGGCTGACATTTTCCTTGGTTTGCTGGTGTGTTCTGGTGGGGTTCTGCCCATTTTGTTAGCTTTTTCCCTCACACCTTCCATGTTCTGTAAGTTTGTCAGATGAGAAAAAAAAAAAGATATTTGGACTCAGTTTCTATGAGCAGGAAGACCCTATTGGTTTCATACCCTTATGACCTGTGACTGCCTTATTCAATCCCCCATCCCCACAGATAAACATGCTCAATGTGGAGTAGACTCCCATGGTTTGCTCACACTTTGCCCTTCTAGTTTTCCCACTTTAACCCTTGCTGTTCTTGCAAGAAACATCTTCAGAGTTTTGGGGTTTTCTCTCCCAGTAGCTTCTGGAGAGGTCATCATATGGGATTTCCATAAGCCTTTGCATGCAGCACTTGGGCTGTATGGCCCCCTTGTGTATATTCATGAGGACTGGTAGGGGACCTGTGGTTCAGAATGTTCCTGTGTGTGTTAGTTCCTGTGTGTGCCTTGTGGAGCGGTCTTGTTCAGCCCTGCTCTCTGCAGTTGCTCTGAGTATAAATTCAGGCAGCCAGTCAGTCTACAATGTTTGATACAGGGAGTATAGGGTTTCTACCTCTAAAATTTATTTTTGTTGCTTGTATTTTGATGTAGAAATTGGCAGCTTTCTGTCACAGCTTTCTCCTCCCAGTTGTACTTGAGCATGCTTGGTTTAGGGAGCCCTTCAATTGGGTGTTATAACTCTGGAGGCATATGGGCCTCCTCCAGCAAATACCCAGTCTGGATGGTTGTGTTGAAAACCCATGCACCTCAGTCCTCCATCTTGCCCATGAGGAAACTGAGCCATGGAGATGGAGTTGCACAGTTGCTGTGCTAGGTTCCAGCTGGGTGGATTTGGGCAGGGCTCTGGGCAGATATCTGTGGCCCATGTAGCTAATGGGACTGAACTCTGTCTCCTGAGTCAGGCGTTTCACAGCTTGAGCCACCACTGCTACTGTGTAGGGTTCTGCCTGAGTGACAGTGCCTGCCTTGGGGAGTCCTCTGTTGTGTTCAATACTTATAATCTCTGTCTTCCTGTCTTGTTCCCTTCCAACAGGGACCCAAACATGGAGCTGCGGGAAGAAGCTTGGTCTCCGGGGCCGCTGGATTCTGAGGACCAGCAGATGGCCAGTCATGAGAACCCAGGTGAGGTGGCCTCAATGGTTCCTCAACCAACCCCACTGCCTTCCCACCAGGCCAGGGAATCATCCCTTGTGACTCTGGTGTGTCTGGACTCCTGCCCCTTGTCCTCCAAGAGACCCACCCCCAGCTTAGAATGAGAGGCTGGTGCTCAGGTTCCTAAGGGTCCTTTTGATAGGACCGTCCAGATTGTTGGGGCCACCTTTTGTCTCAAGTCTGCAGCTGGCTGTTGTTTGTGCCCAATACCCTGTTCTGGTTCCAAGAATACTGTGACCTGGTTCCTCCTCATATTGCAGGTAGGCCCTCCAAACCCAGGGTCTGGAAGTTGTAATGAATGAGGGAAGGACTGGGAAGGGGAATCTGAGGTCACATGGTAAGATTTGGGAAGGGTGGGCTGGGATAAATATAAAATTATTCACTTTTAAGTGTTGGCAACATGTATTTTGTTTGTTTAATAAAGCATTATTGGGTTGAACAAAATTTATCTGTGGGTTACGTGGTGGTTAGGTTTGTTGGGTAAGACCCATCCTGGCCCACCAACACCCTCATCCCTCTCCCTGGTGAGTCCAGCCTGATGACAAGCTCATGAGAAGGTACAGAGGGTGCTGTGTGTCTGCCACCTGGGGCAGATGGCGTTGGCTTCCTCCATTTTAATAAATTGGTGCTTACAACACATTGCTTCAGTGTTCCTTAGAGTTTGCTGTCATGGCCCAAGGTTGCTTGTCTCGTCACCTCCACCTGTACACAGCCACGTACCCATTGGTGTGGGATTGCAATAAAGGTTTGGCACAATCCTGACTCGACATGCTGACTGTCATAGTTTCTTTTCTGTTGCTGTGCTAAAATAACCCAAAGTAACTTAGGGGAGAAAGGGCTTATTTAATTTTTAATTCCAGGTCCATCATGCCATGAAGTCACTGGGGCAGGAGCTTGAAGCAGCTAGTCACAGCCAAGAGCAGAGAGAAATAAATGCATGTTTGCTTGCTTGGGCCCAGTTTGATTTTTTTCCACTTGTAACAGTCTGATTAGGGGAATGATACCCTCACAGTAGGCTGCCTCCTCCCACATTAATTAACTGATGACAGTTCCCTACAGACATGCCCACAGGAGAACCCCATGTAGACAACCTTTTATTCAGACTATTTTCAGGTTATTCTGGGTTGTGTCAAGTTGAATCCAGTACCCTCTCTGGCCTGTCGGTTACACATACACTTGAGGCATGCATTTACACAGGCACATCCACACACAAATACAGATTCTTCCTAAAAATGAATTCAAGTGAGGAGCCCTGAGCTTGAGCTCTGTTGAGAGAACAAATCACAAACCTTGAGAGTAGCTCAAAAGAGCTGAAGGCTCACTGAGCTGTGGCTCACTGGTGACATACTTACGTGGCATGCCTAGGGCCTGTGTTTGCTGCTACCTGTTGTAAACCAAAATCCAGCTTCCTGTCAGAAAGAGTGAGTGGCTTATATGGAAAAGTAAAGGAAACTTAGATTGCCTGACAAAAGTAAACATGACAGGGTGAGGGGTGAGCCAAAGATATGAAGGGTGTTGACAAAGAACAAGAGCACAGTTAGGTCCTTCACCTGTGTGCCTGTCCTGAAAATCTATTGATGATTGGACTTTGGCCAAACCCAGTGACCAGGGTGAGGCAGACAAAAGGTGGCAGTGATCAGGGGCTCAGTTGGAGAACAGGACCAGCTGGCTACCCAGACATCTGCCTATGGAGACAGCTGTGAAAATGGAAAGGGATCCTTAGGGCATTTAGTGTGGTTGTCTCCAGAAGGTAGTGTGGGTCAAACCAGTAAGTGATACCTGTGTTCTGATTCTGTTATCACCCACACTGATGATAGGGTCCCAGTGGGGAAGAGGAGGGTACTGAATAGTTTATATATAAGCTTTTGGTTACTGGGAATTTGTATGGCAATCAAGCAGGGTAGATTCACTGCTAATTTGAAAACAAAACCCCAGATAGGGACTTCCTGATTTTGTTCCCTGAGGAGTGCTTTGGAAAGCTGTCCTTGGCAGGTCTGGGCCAAGCAGCATGTAAGACAGATTGCATGCTGTTGAGGGCACCCGGACTCAGGGAGGATAACAAGCTTTGAGGAGGCACCCACTCACCAGAGATGGGCAGTGTTAGCCTGAGTGAATTTAATATAATGTTTGTTTCTGCTGTGGTACTGGGGATCCAACCTAAAGTCTTCAACATTCTAGATAGTGCCCTTCAACAGAGCTATATTCCCAGCCCTGTTTCTAGTTTTTATTTTGCTAAGTTGCCCAAACTGGCTTTGAGCTCATAGCCCAGGCAAGCCTTGAGGCAACCTCCTGCCTCACCCTCCCAAGGTAGCTGGGATTGCAGGCCTGTGTCAGTAGGACTAGCCTGGAGTCTGCATTGGTATGATATTGGGAAGGGAGAGACTCATTTGGTGAAGAATAGAGAACCAACCTACACTTGAATACTGGGCAGATGCCTTGCCTACAACCTCCTGAGGTGAGCCAAGTACCAAGAGCTTGACCCTGATGTGTTGTCTTGACGTCATTACTGCTGGTATCTCACAATTCTATTTGCAAAGTAGTATAGCTGCCCCTTCTGTGTCCAGTTGGTCTATGATCTGATCTCCAGTGCTGGCCAGTGGGTAGAGACCAGTGGATTCTGGGACCTCCCTGGCAAGGTAACCTAGCTGAAATGTGCTTCAGTTTCTGTGAGACCTTGTGTCAAACTACTAGGTAAAGATCAATACAAAAATAAAAAAAATCTACATCTGTCTCTGGCCTGCATGCATACGCCGTGCATATACATACATACATACATACATACATACATACATACATACATACATA